ACTACATGTCCCTTACGATACTAGCAAACTTGTTTCTGGGAATGTATTACGGAAGACGAATCGGCGACATTGGTGTCCTCGTCAAAACTGAACTTGGCCATGAACACCAATCTCTTTGAACAACTGATGACCTAACTCGAACGTTTCTGAGTGACGTAACGTTAGCCAGTTCCAGCTTTAACAGTAATCGTCGCTTGCCCTCCAACATCAAAGTGTACGAGGGACGACGCTGAAGCATTTCATCAGATATGGGCTTAGAGAAATTCTACAAAGAATGTCATACTTTCGACGCAGTTATTATTGGTAACTTCAACGCTAAGTTCGACCCAACAGACCATTTGAAAAGTTTTATGTCGTGACCCATGGGTAAGAATAGAATGGACAGGATGAACTATATTTATCACAGTGATCATAGCCATTCATGCCAGGTTAGAATTCCAGAAGCTCGCCTTTGAAAGGTGAACTCGAGATCCTACAAATTGAGAGTGCGACAACAAATTAGTCTCCATTATACTCCATTGAGGATTTTGCCTAATTGTTGTTGCCATTGTTCTAGACTTGAACAGTAGATTGGAATATCGCCTTTTTCATGCAAGATTATTTTTTTTCGCAGAAGAAAGAATCGCGTTCAACTGTCGGAAAAATCGATGACAATCAGCTCTCGTAAACCATGGTGAAGACCGAGTTTTAAAGGCATCGTAGTACTCAGATGTCCAGAAGTTCTCGAGTTGATACGTCAACTTTGGTCCGCAGTTGTTTCACGTACAACTAACATACTTTGAGCTTGCAGAACTAGGCAGAGAAATGGCAAACATGTTGCAGAGGCTCCGAAAAGCATCCGCCACGCTGACAGAGATTTCTGTTCTTAAAAAAACAAAATTCTCACCTCCGGCGTCCACATGAGGCAGTCATACCTTCAGGTTGGCAAGGATATGCACATATTCCGAATAATTTTTCCATTCGTCTTTTGAACGCCATCTTGTCGCTGAGCTGTCCAGCAGCACTGGGTCTCACACGGTAAGGCTACGAACATGTGAATGAACTACCGCCAGTTTTTATCAACACCTCGGCATTGTTTTTCACACGTTTCCTGTCAGAATACAAGATAATTACTCAGTGCAAGACCGACTGCGCCATGTTACCAGACCATGTTGCTTAAAGAGAGAAATCCGTACAACATTGGCAACTATCATTCAACATGGTTTTTGTTTGTCCTTGACAAACTTTTTGCCCAAGTCGTCTTTATCAGGGTTATATGAGCGTTCAACAAACTGTAGCCATAGGAATGATCAGGGTTTCCGAAACAATTCAGAACGGTATCACATCTTTGCGGCGCCGAAACTATTTGAAGTGTCACTAGGGCACAACTACTTTCCGGTTGATAAGCATTAGGTCTTGTAAACATGTAGATGATGTTAGTAGCACGAGAATTTAGTCTCCGTTGTCAAAAACGCTGTCGAGGGAGTGACGGTAGCAGTATCCCATCTCAATTAAGTTGAGCAAATTCGGATTTCTGTTTGCTTCAACGACCAAGAATTAATGAAGTCTCTATATGTGCCAAAATAATGACGATCAGCTAGGTAGAACAATTAATACAACTTACTTGTAACTGCTTGAAATGAACTGTTAGAAAGTGGACTGGTGGAATTCTGTACACGTAGCGGGAAGGGCGCATGTGGCGCAGTGGTCGGAGGCGCCCTGTAGCACATACGTGGGATTGATCCCTGTTCACGTGGCTCACCAAGCGTTCCATCCCTCCGGGGTCGGCAAGTTCGCATCAGACTTGTCTGGGAGGATAGCAGCACTGGCTCAATGCATCGGTAGGCCGCTGCGAGTCATTGTAAAGGCGAGATATGCGTTCAATCACATCCAACAATGCTTAATGAGGTCGAGTACATGACGCATCTTTCAGGGATTGATCAACGCCGAGAGCTTTATTCCTTATCTTTTTATTTTATGACGGGAACCACAGAATCAGTGGTGACAAAGACCTTACATGGAAGTATGAGTTGCAGCTTTGTCCAAAAAATTTGGTTTTGTTCAGAATAAAAAATATTACCTACTGATAAGGCCGAATTCTTTTGGAATTTTATAGTGCATTCTTATGTGGTGCCTTATGTCACTTGCTCCTCCATTAATCTTCCCACTTGCTCCACTGAATGTTCGAAAAGGCGCAAAAAAAATTTCCATTTGTTCCTGCTACTGTTGCTCAGTAGTTGCTGTTTGCATTGAAAAACATTCTGTTTGCCGTTCAGGGACTTCGTAAAGAGTTCTGACCTTCGAGAAAAAGTTCGCGGGATATCTCTGTTGTCCTGGGCCCAAAGCTATTTTAAAACTGATTCTCGACAACTGTCTAGTAGTTCACATAAACTTGCTACTTAGAAAACAGTTCCCTTGACGCTCGCTTTGTTGTTTAAGTTGAGCAAAATATAGAGCACGGACTGGTATCGCAGTGGCATTAATACCGTTCCGTGTGAGTAAGGCGCATATTCGACCACGCTTCAGCCCCACCAAGCCACACTTGTTTTGGATGGAGAAGCTGGTGGAAGGCTCGCCTGGGATCTGCTAGCTCTCTGTAATCAACAAAAAGTGATGACATTGGCTTGTGAAGGAGGTCTGCGTAAGTCCTAACAGCTATTAGGTTCCGATTGATAATGGACTCGACCAGAATTGAACGACATTCGCGAAGAACACCAAAAATCTTAAAATATCTGCCGAACTCACAAATCCGAAGAATTCCCAGTACGGTGAACGTGAGAAGGCGAATCGAATAGGAAGAAGTTATGGGATCTGTGAAAAGTATTCAGTTGTGTAGAAAAAACCGTATACAGTAGTACACAGAGATATTTGTCTGTAGGACATTTTAAAAAATATAAGCCTAAGGATGAAGGATAAAGCTCTTGGTGTTTATCAATTCCTGATGGATGTGTAATGCATTTATCTTCATCTCGTTCTCTACAGGTCATTTTTGAGTAGAGTTCATGAGGAAACATCACTAAAGGTGGTTGAATGCACACCTTGCGTAAACAAAATGATTCACGGTGGACTTTCGATGTATGAATTCACTGCAGCTGTCCTCCCAGGAAAGCCTAATACCAATTTGCCGTTCCTGGAGGGACGGAGGGCTTGATCCGCCGAGACTTGGGTTCTAGCCAACAAGCATGTGTGTAGTTTGGAATATCTCGAACTTCTGCACTACACGCATCTGCTTTCCGGGTTCACCAAACCTATCATCTCTTGGTCTGTAAATTGGTACCAGACCTGTCTGGGAGAATAACAGCACTGATTGATACATCGATAGGCTACAGCGAGTCATTGTATAGGCCAGATACGCATTCAGTTGCCGCTAACGATGTCTGATGAAATCGAATGAATGGCGTATCTCTCGGCGATTCATCAATGCCGACCGCTTCATTTTTCAACCTTTTATACATGTGAGGAAGCTTTTTTGATTTTCCAAATAAGATTCTATCGCAGCGAGCACTACAAGATGCCGAGTTATCGGAACCCTGGTAGACACATTACAGTTTTTGAGTAGATTTCTTTTTTTTATAGTATGTGATAATTCCAAGATTGATGCAGGACGGATTATCGTAAGAGCAGCTGATCATCTTGAGTGGACAGCCGATCAATAATCGTTTTGTATCTGGTGAAAGATAATAGTTATTTCATCCGTGCAGCATTCCAGTTTATGCTATTTGGTTCAAAGATAATTCGACATCAACGAAGATTTCAACTGTGGAGTTCTTAATCGAAGCGATTCATTGCAGGTGCTTAGAAGAGGTGACAGTATCACGAAATCGGCGGCCACATTGAAACGCCAAACTTGTGGAAAAGTAGATCAACTTGGTGGTGAGATTTCTTCACAAAGTATAGTTAACATTATGTGGAATGCAACCACAGTTTGCAAAACTTGGACCTCAACCCAGTTCGACCCACTACTACCTTTTCCTGCGGCTCAAGTGTTAGGCACCACACCACTGAAGCGCTCGTTCTGCCTTTGTCTCCGTCAATTTTCTATCTATAATAGCAGTGCCAGCAGCAATCTCAGTGGTGCGGTGGATTGCATGTGAACTCCTCAGAAAGAGTAATCGCGGGTTCGAATCTGGTCTGGAGTCTGAGTTTTGAAAATATCTCAGCATTATATTGCCTCTCATTCCACAACATATCCTGGCTTGAAAAATAATGATAGGCAGTGAATAAAAAGTCAATACATAGACAGCATAATATTTCTCCATTCCCTGAAGAAGGCGAAGTCGCCGAAACGTTAGCCACCGAATCACAACGACAACAACAATTACTAGTACCAAACTCGCATTAGCTGAACAAGAGCACTTCATAAGAATTACATATATAGTTAACATTATTGGTGATATAGTCAAGTGAACTTTTCTTGTAGAGGTTTTCAGTCAAATCAGTGCAATGAGTTGCACATGGGAAATCTAGCAAACATCTTAAGAAGTCAGTTCTGCTCCTATCAGTGTAATAGTTTTTGCAAAATCGATCTCAGACAGTTTCCACCACTGTCCGTATGCCATCCTAGACCGCTCCTACGTGACGAGAATGACTTCACTTTAGCATCTTCTGCAGTTTGCCACATTCATTCTTCCGATTTTGTGAGATACGAAGCTAAAATGAACATCGCAGTATGTATTCGTCTTAGTTGATATTATCACATTCCATTTGTAACAATTTAAAGTTTACAAATCACTTTCATTCGTATTCCAATATTCCACATATACAAGTACACATTTTCCCATATCAAACTACTTGTATGAAAGCTCATAGCGTTAGCTAATGCGAAATGTGATACGTTCTTGATATCCTATTATTTTTCCCATTCCCTTTCTCTGACATCTTAGGTTGCTTTGATGCTAAGCACACTGTGGTGTATGAAATTATGGTGTCTCAACGCAGTATCTTTTTCATAGGGAACGAAAAGAAGGCAGAAAGAAACTAAGGAAAAACATATTTTTCAGGTATGATAGAGTTCCAGTAGACTAGAGTTGTGCTTTCGTCCGATTCCTAAGAGTGATTTGTTCCCAGAATTTTGCACGCCGTCCTTGATAATCGTCAGCCATTGTCGGCGCTGGTAGCTGAATGAGTAGGTGCCGATACGGCTTCGTGACATCGTACGGCTCCCATTTTATTTTGTTGTTGGAGCACGATCGACCAACGTTGGGATTCCTGAGTGTGTAAAAAGCGTTTTTCCTACCATTTTCTTTTGACACAACAATTTTACGTTAGAAACATGATTTGATTCTATGGAGGTGTGAGCACGGTGTCATTATCAGTGGCTTCAAATTATAGTTTGAACTATGGTTATACTAATTACCCATTTTTAGCAAAATTTGTGAAGAAATCTGTCATCATGTCAAGCATCTTCAGATCGTTATTACTTGGTTTAAATTTGGAGAAAACGCCTTTGCCGAGAATATACCGTACTTCAGAGCAATGTGTAGCTCCTGAAAACAAGTTAAAAGCCACTGCAGTTTTCCATACTCTCTAAGGACTACCACTTGCCCATCTTAATCCAACAGACCTTTGAATGGGAGCAGAAATCGAAAAATTCCGAATCCATCGGGATTGTAATACTCAAAACAGTAAAAGTACACCTCGTTACCATATTCTGTCATCTTTTGAACGTATCGCATTACACCAGCGGTTATGGCATAATCACCCAATAGCTGAAAAATCCTTTCAGTAAAAAAAATATTCATATCACATCTGAGTTCGTAATGCTATAAACATAAACCTTTTGTTGTTAACCATTCTCTGAGGGATGTGCCATGCATTCTACTTCACTAAGCATCGTTAGAGGTGATTGAATGCATATCTAGCCTATGTGATGATTTGCAGTGGACTACCGATGTAAGAGTTTAGTTTTCCTATTCTCCCACACAAGTCTAGTACCAACGTGCCAACCCTGAAGGCGTGGAAGACGTAGTGGGTCTGTGGTGCTGGGTTGAACCAATGATCACGTGTGTACTGCACCTGAATCTGAGCCTGTGTATTACATCAATTTGACCGAGCAACATTAAACTTTCTTTTTAACTTATTATTTACTGCCTACTATTTTTAACGGCAGGGTATATATGCGAAATATAACTTCAATGATGCTGAGATATTTGCAAAACTCCGAGCCGCAGGTGTCTGCGGTGGGGAACGAACGCGCTATTGTCCTTTCCGGGGAGTAACGCGTTCACCATCACACCATGTGGGTCCTTCGTTTCACCTGTTTCTCCGCTAGTTCTATCGATCTCTGCATCAGCAATCACCCGTCAGCGGGATTGATCTGGGGAGCCCAAATCGGCAATGAACACAGTTAACCTGAGACTGCAGTTGTAATCACAATTTTAACTTATTATTTGCTGCCTACTCTTTTTAACAGCAGATTTGGCCTCCCCAGATCAATCCCGCTGACGGTTGATTGCTGATGGCAAAAGATCGATAGAACTAGCTGAGAGACAAACGAAACGAGGGACCCACATGGTGTGATGGTGAACGCGTTACTCCCCGGAAAGCACAATAGGCGTTCGTTCCCCACTTAAGACACCTCCGATCCGGAGTTTTGCAAATATCTCAGCGTCATTAAAACTAAACTTTCTGTTAACTTTTTATTTGCCTGCTAAAATTTTTTTTCCGGCTAGGTATTATGTGAAATATAAACGCAATCATGTTGATGTAATTTGCATAACACTGGACCACAGGTGTCTGTGGTGAGGAACGAACGTTTCGCCTATTTCTCAGCAAGTTTCCTGTCTACCAGCCATCAGCAATCACGCGTTAACGGGATTGATCTGTGGAGCGCAAATCGGCATTGAACCAGTGAAGCTGAGGCTATAGTTGAAATCACAATGTTAACTTTAATCAGTAAACTTTCTATTCATCCTTGTGGCACACCAGAGATGTGTCTGGAGAGCTTATCTTGTTCAAGTGTGATATGAGGACCATTGTGTTTTAGATGTGACGCTCTTTATTTCTAGATTTATTGGACAGAAGATAGCAACGGATTACTAGCAAAACTTTGCCATCCGATATTCATTGAAAGTGAAATACTCCATCCCTTAAATCCTTGCGATCCGCCGATCTAGTTGAAAGTTTTGCATTAATTTGCCTTATTGGCTAAGCCGTTTTACTGTTGAGGTTATTACAGCAGGTCAATTAACCATAATGAATTAATGCGGCACGTGTAGCGCAGTGGTTAGAGGTGCTTTGTAATACATACGTGATACTTGGTTCATTCCTGCACTTCGAGCAAGCCAAATCGTCCATCGCGTTATAATTAATTCCTAAGTCGTTCTCTCAGCCAAATACGCATTCGGTCACCTCTACGATACTTAATGGAGTTAAATGAATGGTACATACTTACGGCGTTGATCACCGCTGGACCTCTTATCTATTAATCCTTTTTGGTCCTACTTTATTTTTAGCATTATAGTCAAGTAGCAGGCTGCCACTCACCTGGACGAACCGTTCGCTAACCTTCTTCTTATCCTTGGGGTTAACGTCTTTCAAGTAAAAATCGTAAATTTCCCTTTGAACACTTTCTGTATCACTGCCATAGTCACATTCACGCACTATGTTTCTGCAAAATTTTTTAAATCCTTCCGTCGTCCTTTGAAAACCTCCCAGAGCGGCTGAAAATATTAACTTTAACGTGTTTTCACAACTAATCCATTAACGTTTTCATACGAAGCATAGCCACCGAAAAAAAGGCCTTCATGTTGCGTAGTGCCGAGCATGATCTGTTTTCGTGGACTTTCACGTCTCAGCTCATCCATAGGTTTTGGGAAGAAATCACCATCAAAATTGGGAACGAACAATAAATTTCCCGATTGTGATGAATGAAAACCCTGAAAGCTAGTTTTTTGTGACCTTTAAATATAACACATTCATGACTGTATGCAGTGACTTCTGTGCCCGCTGACCATGAGAGAAACATTTTGGATAATACGCATTGATTTCAATGCATTTTTTTTCTGGCGATATCCTTTTACCATATGAATGGCCTCTCTGATCACGATTATGCTCTCCATAATCAAAAAAAGTTATTTTCTACACATTCTTCCTATTTGAACGAGTTTGTTCGTCTCTATGAGTCGTAAATCACCTGGTCACTCCAAAAACATTACCATACAGACATTGCAACAGGTGATGACGATATTCATATGATTTTTATTAAATAGAAACGCATGAGTCTGACGACGTTTGCTTCCTCAGTGTAAAGAAATAATAACACAAAAGGCAGTTGTTAATGAAGAAATCAATAAGATCTCCGTCTTCGCGCACTGAGTTCAATGTACACCTTGTGGTGAAGAAAATACTGACATATCTAGAAAGGAAACCACCGCACTTTTCTCGGACGAATTCCAACTTCGATGCGTGGTGGTGGCTGTGCTTCCATGAAACGCAGGAGACCTATCGAGTCGTTTTCTAAATATTTCATACCATCGTACTTCCAATTTCCTTCAGATGTTTTTAACTGTGTCCTATCCTATTTAAAATGCCTACTTGAATAATTGAATGGCCCGTATTCACGAAGAATCGTGAAAGCCCTAGCGCAATTTACATTAGGTTGCTATATATACGTATATATGTAAAGGATAAAAAGGATTAAGCTCTCGGCGTTGATCAATCCCTGACGAATGCGCCATGCATTCAACTTTATTAAGTATCGTTGAAGGTGATTAAATGCATGTCTGACCTTTACAATAACTCGCGGTGGCCTACCAATGTATCCGGCCAGTGCTGCTATCCTCTCAGACAAGTTTGCTACCAATTTGCCCACCCCGGAGGGATGGAATGCTCGGTATGCCTTGGGCTCGGGGATCGGTCCCATGTGTATTGCAGGGCGCCTCCGACCAGTGCGCCACGCGCATCCGCCCACGTATATATATGCATAAATATGCTGCTCGGGCTTATTTCAAAGGCCATTTTGCGGCTTTTCCAATTGTTGAGCACAGTGATTAGCCCGCCGATATGGATCTAAGTGATATTTGCTACGTTGTAATTAAGTCACGGTGATTTTTGGCATTGATTAACACTTTATTGGGTTCCAGATAGAAGTGTTCTTTTCTTTGAATATTACCAAACTACTTAAGTACGTGAATGAGTCCTTAATGTTCATTTATTTATGTTATCTTTTTTCCTGGTTACTTCCTTGATATGTAGTGGTGAAGACTAAACGCTTATATTGTAGACACCGACTTTTCCAATAGCGTCGTTATTTTGCTCACGTTTTGGCGCCTTCACCTTCTTCATGTTTAACTTCCCAACTCTCAGTTATGGCGTAACAATAAAATCGAAAAGACTCGCGTGTCAAAACTTACAAACACTATCACACAGCGCATAGGGTTCTCCACTTTGATGCGAGGCGTTGAAGAAGGCGAACGTGTCGAAACCGGATAAAAGTTTCATAACAATCTACTACCTTAATCTTATGAGAAAATACGAAGTGCTTAATCAATTAGTTGAGAAATCGTAGAAACCGTTGTGTTGCGAAGAATTCTACTCACAAGACGCCTAACTTCCCTGCCATCCAGTATGGTTTGTGATCGTCTTTGGTAGAAACCTTGAAATACTCTAACACGGATATTTTTGGGTTTGATGCAAACCGGACTTGACCAGCGTTTAATTTATAACTGAAAGTTCACGCATCCTCAAACTGGAGTGGATCTTCTAATATAAACCCGACCACCTCCATAGATATCAGTTGCATAATAACAAAACGAATGGAGTTTGTGAGGCGCGCACCTGATTTGAGGACGGGCCATCTAAGTAATAAGTCCACAAAATCGAAGTTTGCAAATAAGGTGTAGGTCTCATGATTTTTTAAAATATTCTCAGTTAATTTTGCTTTCTTGTTTTTCTACCACAAGTAAGTAGGATCTAATGTGATAACAGAGTCTTCCAAATGTTCTGTCTAGCCTAGTGAAAAACTAATGCAACGCTTCAATTCTTTCGTTTTCAATGTCAACCTAGAAAAAAATTGTTTTTGTCACCGATAATGATTGCACATCTAAGCTTAACGTTTAGAGAGAAGCAGAATGGTTTTATCTCAAACTTGTAAATGCCGCGAATCAGTGAACTGCTTCACTTTCGATTGCAGGTCGACGAATTTGATAAACTTCTCGCCATGTAGGTTGTTTTTAGAGTTCGGGAAAAAATAGCATATGGCTGAACTGAGTCCAACATGTACGCAGGATTTGAAACCGTATCGAGGCGTCGAAAAGCATGTACGATCAAACGTCGTGGAGAAGACATACTCCAGTTTGTCTCGTTCACTTTCGATAGAAACAACCGCCAGCAGGCCAAACTGATTTAGTGGAATTATGTAGGTTTCCCGCTTCCTGCAGAATTTCTATTACACCTAACCTTCAACGGCCTTGAGTGGAAACTTGATGCGTTCATAAACATAGCCGATTATAAATCTTAACAGCCACTCGGGATAGGAAAAGTGCCGTGCTAATTCTCCACTATCCGTGCACTAAGCACTTGTCGCCTTTGTCGACACTGATAAAAATATTGCCTTTTCTCTTTTTTCTTCCGACTTCCACCTCCTTATCAATCTACATCGTGACCAAGTCGTCCTTTCAACAAAGTGAAAAAGAAATTTGACGTGATTTCATCCCGATGTGATCATGCCGGATCCAGCAAGGAAGCTTTTATCTCCATAAGCACAAATACTCTAGCTCTCGCAACACGCTTTTTTCATTCGTTAAATTGTAAAGATGGCCAATTTTAAACTCAACATGTTAGCGGATTTCTAAAATTTAATATTAATATTGTGGTTCCTTCTATACATAATACGACTTTACATGTGCGGATTCCAGCACTTCCACTCAGTTCGTTGTTTCGTCTCAGCTCTCCACGAAGGTGTTTGGATTTGAGTGTTGATTTGAATGCCACTTGAGCGTGTATGCTGTCTCACGAATGTCGTTAAATCTGCGAACTTAGAGAGGCTCAACTCAACTAGCATTCATCGACATTCATGAATATGACAAAATCCTCAGCGCAACAAACACGAAAACCACAAGATCTTCGTGGATGACCAATACGAGAAGGAATTAAATGAAAAACAGCTGCGATCTTCACAATATGTTAAATCATTGAAAAAAATATGGTGGTCCATTTGAATAAGATTGGCAGGCGTGTACTTCTTGCTTCTTTTCGAGGATTTCGAACTCCTGCTTTCATTTCTTCTACTATATCTTCTTTGTAACCTAAATAGGTTTTTAAGATATATATATATATATATACATATATACATATATATATATATATGTATATACGTTGGTGATTCTTCGATATATTTCATGGATCTGTCTAATGTAGTGTGGCGCAGTTGTTGAAGGCGCCACTGTGACACACACATAGAATTAATCCTCACGCCCATGGCTCACCAATCCTCTCATCCCTGCGGGGTCGGCAGATTGGTACCAGACTTGTCTGGGAGGATAGCAGCACTGGTTCGATACATCGGCAGGCCATCGCGAGTCATTGTAAAGGCCAGATATGTATTCAATCACCTCCAGCGATACTTATTGAAGTCGAATGCATGGCGCATCCCTCAAAGATTGATCAACGCCGAGAGCTTTATCCTCTTATTTTAACACAGTTTGGCCAATTGTTGATGTGTTTCTTATCCAATATTTAAATAGATAGTCAGCTGATTAATAAACATTCAGTAAGAACCGCTAACCAAAGCACTTAACTATTATAGCGTGCGGGCAGTATCCACTGCTACCAGGTACACTTAAATTCAGCTGCTACCAGAAATGGAAACTCCGAAGGAATTTTTGTTTTCCAATAAAGAAATCTTTTTACCATCACCAGTCCATCCGATAAATCTGGCAAATTCACGACAAAGCTTCGCTTGCGATTTGTTGGTGCGCATTGCGAATTCGCATTCACCGCAGCCGGCCATTGGAATCAATCTGTGAAAAAGATCTGAAATGATGTAGAAGCTGATCACAGAGGTACAGAAGAACATCGTCATGTTGTTCGTTATGAACAGAAGTACGTATAAAATTTGCCAACCTCTTGAATGAGGACTGATTGCAAGTAAATCGGCGCTCGCACCACCTGCACTCTGTCCGAATAAGGTCACATTTTCTGGATCACCACCAAATGACGCTACATTGTCGTGTATCCAATGTAATGCTAGTGTCTGATCCCATAATCCCATATTTCCTAACAACTTTCTTTATTGTCAAAACAGCTACTTGAGTGATTTGATGTAATTAGTTGTTACCTCGACAAACATGGTCGCCTGTGGTGAAGAAGCCGAAGGGACCGAGACGATAGTTGACTGAGACGACCACGACATCTTTTACGCAGAGATTCATGAAGAGCTTACAACATATTCAAGTACAAATTAACTATGAAGCCACTTTGTGGTGGCTTTCAGTGTTTAACCCCTACTGGCAGCAATCTACACTTACAAACGCACATACAGAGATGTACGAATGCGTCTACAATTCCTGTACCTTCAACACACATTCAGATACGTAGACACATATAGACACAGGAACACGAGACAATTTCATGACGAACGGATTTTACATAATTTACATAATGTAGTAATTAAGCATATTATTGACCGCAAAAAACGTTCAGTTCAGATCCGTAAATTTTTCATTTTAAGTTTGAAATTTGCTGGAAACAAAAGAGATAATGAATATAGAAATAGTTCTGCTTAGACTTTTCTACTTATTCTTCGTCATCTTTTACTTCATGTGCAACCAGTGGATCTTTTGAAGTACTTATTGACACATACTGGTGCCACATCCTGAGATAGAACCAGTAAATATAATCCTAGGCCTGAACTCAAACCTAAGCGTACCTGGCAATAGTGCTGTCACCGTAGTTACTACTAGAATGTATCGAAAATCCACCACCGTGAATCCATACCATCACAGGAAATTTCTTCTCCTTAATTTTCTACTATGATAGAAGAATATAGATTCACTACGCTTTTTTTTTAGCCTGAAAGTCTTATACCTTTTTATAACCATGTTTAGCTACTATTTACTGCCCACTATTTTTTATGGGAGGGTATTATGTGAAATACAACAAAAATGATGCTGTCTGATATACGAGCAGAACTGGGAACCCAAAATGAGCCTAAAATTCACGATTACCCTTTCAGAAGACACACTGTAGAAATAATGAGCAGTAAATAAAAGTTAAATATTGTGATTTCAAGTGCAGCTTCAGCTTAACAGGACTCAATGCCCATTTGTGCTCCTTATATCATTCCTTTTGAAAGATGATTGCCGATGGGTACCACTAGAGCAAAAAGGGCCGAGAACAGTAATGATACAGGGTCTTATGCCAAGCTGTAGTATTGATCGTGTCAGTGGAACAAGCCGAACCCATTGAGAAGGTCTTCGGAGCAGTAGGGACAAACGGAGATTGTTTTTGAGTCACTTGATGACTAATAGGATTGTGGTTTATACAAGTGGTTTACAAGTTGCGAAGATCAGTCATTCACTGTCCTCTTTATTGCGAAGAGCTTTTGACGTCTTTTGAAATATAATTTCTACATAGAATCTAAGTACGTAGTTACATGGTTTATTTACGAGGGCACTAGGTTCATGTACCCATTTTTTCAACTGTTTGAAATTAATCTTTTATTACTACGAGGCAAACTGATGTGAACCTCAACGGTACTGGATCCGAGTTTACCTCGCAGTAACTACGCCAGCAGATTAATAGTATGAACTGTTTATATTTATACTATATACTTACTATTTACTTTTGTTTATATTGTTTGCAATAAAACATGAAGAACCCACAGTGTCGTACCGCCATCTTGGAGTGAAGACGTTAAGTGTTAAGCAGTTATCTTCCTTCTTGCCGACGATATTAATGAACTAAAAGTAATTGATCAATACGTGTAGACGACATATCCGTTAGAAAAGTCAGTCACTTGAGCAAAGTACTCGTCTCTTTGAGGACATCGTGGTCCAAATTCAACGCAATTCAATTCCTCTGTCCACGATTTGATTGGTTGCGGTTTCTGAAAGACAGTCATATCGAGGTGTTTATTACATCATTTATAATATAACTATAGATTTTAACAACAGTAAGGAACAAAGGAAATGGTGTTAATGCGGACTTATTGAGCCATTTCTTCTCCATTATCAGAAACAATGGTATTAAGCCTGACCTTAAACCTCAGTTTTCCAATGGGTGGTTCAGCATACGGTATACCCATATACATGTCAACAGTACGTCCATCACTTAGAGTGTACTGTCGTCCACGAACTGGCCCTGACAACGTCTTGACCAGCGGCGAACGAGCTGACGATGACGTAGTAACGCCCATCTGATAGCGCTATAACGGCATAGGTAATTGAGTATATTTACTCATATTCAATAGCACAATAAACTATCAGCTGAGTGATTTGTTCTTTCTTTTGCTTCATAATGTTTATTGAACTATATTCGAAAAAAATCCTTTTAAAGCTGAACGGTGAAATCTTATAACTAACAAGCACAACTTTAACAGGATAACTGTAGGACATTTTCGGCACGGTGAGTTCAAAAAGAATGAATTTCAAATTAAAACAATTGTTAAATTTCAATAATGCTGAGATATTTACAAAACTCCGAACCGCAGGTGTCTGCGGTGGGGAACGAACGCGCTGTTGTACTTTCCGGGGAGAGTAAAAGAGATCAATAGAACTAGCTGAGAGACAGGAGAAACGAAGGATCTGCATAGTGTGGTGGTGAACGCCTTAGGCCCCTGGAAAGGATAACGGCGCGTTCGTTCCTCATCGCAGACACCTGCGGTCTGGAGTTTTGCAAATACTTCAGCATCATTGAAGTTATACTTCGCAATATACCCTGCCATTAAAAAGAGTAGGTAGTAAATAAGACGGTTGAAATTCTTGATTAATAATTTATGAAAACATTTGTTCCATCCATCTAAAAATTGTGTCGTTATTTTTGTTTGAAAGTGGTAACGACTACATACGATTAAGACGCCTTGTTGTAAGCAGACTGAAAAAGAAGATTAAGTGGGTAACTGACCAGAACAACAAGAACAAGGAATTATGTTGATATTTCTTGCAATGCGGAATTAAGATGTAGTTCTGCTGCACACAGGTGATGACGGAATAATCGTGAGATGATTTTCGACAAAATAAAACAACCGACAATGAAGTGATTCGAAAGAGTTACAGAGTAGTGCAATGAAAACTTCAAAAGGATCAATGATCTTTCACAACAAGAAATACGAGCTGAATGGAAGATTGTAAAGTCCCTCATGGCATGGGCAATTGCTATAACATATGACGATTATAGCACTCAGAAAAAAGAGAGTTCGCTATTCCGAACACTTCTGGAATTTAAGCAGAAAACTTCCAAAACTACCATTGCTTACGGATCTTCGGCCGGGTGGACATAACGCTATGTGGTTTTTGTCTGATACCACGAAGTGCCTGCTACTTTTAAGGCGAAGTCATCAATGCAAACAGTAGACAGCTAAACGCATGATTTGAGATTCCAGCCGAAATTCTCAGGCTTTACTTCGAGATATTCACTTTACACTTGCATTTCTCATGATGATAATCTCTGCCATAATTTCAAACTGGTCATTTGATCGATGAACAGAGTAAATGAAAGCACTGTTCGGCGTCATTTAGGCGGACTTCTGTTGACACTAATCGTGGATTACACAACAATAACGGCGATAGGTCAACGGGTTCTTTTTTCGGGAAGTCCAGTAACATACTTCCAATCCAGCGTTATATACTATATCCCGACAATCTACTCGACACCATCATCCTTTCCTCACGACTTCTCAATGGCATACCCCCTCATATTGGCAGGATAAACTCCAAGCACATGTTATTTATAATAGGGTAACGTATCATGGGATTCACCGCAATGTTTTCATCCAAAGTCCAGCTCAGAAATCTTTGCAAGTGCCGAGATGTATGGATTCAGAAAAAAGACTATCGTCTAAACCTTTGCATGGTTGAATAAGGCTTGTCAAAGTATATCTGTTAATAAAGTAGATCTCAGGCGAACTTAATTTCTTCTCCATTAAAATGTTGAGTTTGACATAGGTTGGAATTGATCAAATTGCGTAAACCTCCAAAAGATTAGATGATGCTTATATAGATATATTAGTTTGTAAAGAATTAGGTCAACCCTTAGGAGACACAAATGCGCTTCGTTTTTCAGTATGATAGTGACAAACTGGTATAAACGTCCTTTATTGGATGAAGATTACCAAATCACACCGATTAAACGTGTTCTATTCAAAAGAGTTAGTTAACCTTGTAAGAAATGCAAGCACTCATTTAGCCATCTCTGTAGGTGTGAAAGCTCCACCTACTCTTAAAGGATTAACCGTTCCTGGCAAAAAATACTGAGAAATCGAAAGCGTCGTACCAGAAATATGATGCTGTTCGGGGTTCGTTAAGGGAGCGGAGCCTACCAGGCAGTTATGTGATGTGTGATGAGGACAAGTGGAGTTTACTAGTGCTCGTTCAGGTTAGTCGGAGATTAACGGGAGTTGAAGTGGTGTAGGTGGCACATAACAACTGAGAAGACTAAATCAAAATTTCTGGAAGTTAAATGAGAATATAGATCAGTTGTCACATTAGCATCCATAACAAATAATATACTTATTCAATAATATAATAGTACACAGTATAATATAATATACTTACTTATTGAATATAATATATATATTCAATATTTATATCCTTAAGAACTTTTTTGAGAAAATTGAAAAGTGTGACAAGTTGGTGTTCTCTTGTGGGGAGCAGTTGGTGGAGGTGAGGTGAGTATGAATAGCGCAGAATAAACGTGTAAGCCCATTCTTTGAATATACCTACATCTTGCAGCGAGTACATAGTTCTTTTTGACCTACAGTTGTTCACCTGTCCGCTATCTGGAAGCTATCCACGGCGCTATCTAGACCGATTTCCCCCATATGAAGGATGTCCATAGGAACAAATTTGCAACGAAATTAAGAAAGCATATTTTATATAACAACTATTGAGGTTCACTCCATTTCATCATCTTATTATCGATCGACACATCGGAAGATTCGCCGATGTCACAAGAATAGCTGCTGTCATGGAAAAATCTTAGTCGTAAGGCATCAAACCCCGCTTGGATCGACCATGGCAGGCGCCTGTCTGTGATAAAGATCTGGGAGAGCTCTAACGCGGCTATCTGTGGATTCGATGTAGAAGTACTCTTGATTAGCTCTCAAGATGTCCATGAGTTGGAGAATTACAAATACTTAAGCAACGGTCGAACTCACGCACGAACCCGACTACGTTCGTGGATTATAGATGTTGTAGAACAAAGCGAACAGAATTAATAAGTAGTATGATAATTGCTTTTTAACATGTCCACCTCTCATTATAACGACAAACCGTAAGGCGATTCGTGAAGGAATCGTTTACATACGACGATGACTTATGTGCGTAATTGGAAGCGGCTAAAAAAGTTCCTGACCTTTATACGAGACCGCACAACGTAATGCATTGAGTTTAAATGATGCATGTATACGCCCATCTTTAAGGTATAATAAAAACTAGAAAAGGGACTCTTAATTTGTAGATTATATGGTAGAGGACGCGGTAGTGTAAAGAAATTCTTCCCTTTTCATAACGTGAAATCAACGAAACATCTTGTCCTTTCAGAGTTCGTGAACTGATAGCATGTTCCTCTGCACTTGATAAGATGTTCATTTGTCCATAGGGGTTTTTTTTCACAAACAAGTATAAGAGAAACCTCTTCAGTTGGATGTTGGCACAATGGATCGCGGCATGCCTGCGACACTGCTATTAGGATGGTACACATGAAATGTTCGATTTTACTAGTTTAAATTTCCGTGTAATTTTTTAAAATAAGGTTTTGTTCTTCATGTATGTTTAATATATACATTTGAAGCACAAAAACTGCTTTTTCTATATCTAGTATTGGTTTTTCTCCAGATTTACTATCTTAACATTTCGTAGGCTTTAACTTTAGTATGACCAAACGTGGTGTTCGTGTCCCTTTTTTGTGCGAGTGAAAGAGTGGACATAGTGTCGTAGCAGGAGCTTGGAATATCATCAATTTTATGGTGAAGACAGTGTTGGTGAATCAACACTGCGAACATGGTTCCGGAAATTCCGATCTGGTGATTTCTACCTCGAAGTTAAGGAAGGCCGCGGACGTCCCAATGAACTGGACGACGACGAATTGAAGGCACTGGTGGAAGCAAACACGCTAACAATTGTTCGAGAGCATGCAGAACAGCTTGGCGTAAGCACCGGAACAATTTCCATTTACTTTGATCGAATAATGAAGACAAAAAAACTCGTCAAGTGGGTACCTCCCGAATTAAACGACCGTCAAAAAAATCGCCGGTTTGAAGTGTCGTCTACTCTTTTTCTGCGTAACAAAAACGACCTGTTTCTTGATCGAACTGTGACATGCGACGAGAAATGGATTCCGCACAACAACCGACGACGTTCAGCTCAATGGTTGGATTGCGATCAGGCTCCACAGCACTTCCCAAGGCCGAAATCGCACCAAAAAAAGGTTATGGCGACTTTGGTAACCTGCAGCCACGCTGATTCATCGCAGCTTTTTGAATTCAGGCGAAATTATTACGGTAGAGAAGTGCTGCCAATAAATCGACGAAATGCATAGTAAACTCCAACGACAACGATCGGTATTAGTCAACAGAAAAGGGCCATTCCTTCCTCACGACAACACCCGGCCTGACGTTGCGGAACCAGCTCTGGAGAAGTTGAACGAGTTGGGCTAAGAAACTTTGCCTTATCAGCCATATTGACCAACTACCGACTATCACTTCATCAAGCACCTTGACAACTTCCTGGAGAAATGCTTCACCAACCACGACGAAGCAAAAAATGTGTTCAGCGAACTTCCTCTTCCAGAAGTCCAGAATTTTATGCAACTAAGAGAATTAAATATGTCCGTTGTTGGAAAAGACGTTCTAATTCTAATGGTGTTTATTTCCATTGACAAAAAATAGTAAGAAAGAGTTATGGTTATTTAAATTTTACATTTAAAATCGGACATTTAATATGTTACAACCTAATATATAGCACGGATTCCACGGTTCAATTTGAGCATTTCTGCTAAAAGACGTGTGGGTTAACTACGTTCTCTACTAAGACGCATGTATGTAGTTGTTCTAATAAGGCAGATTCACGAGTTGTTTCAGTGTTTCAGTATATTAAATGGTTCCTTTACAAGGATAGATTCCTAATGCGAGGTTGGCATAGGTCTTCCTTGTCGTTGTCGTTGTTGGTAGATGGCTGACGTTTCGGCGATTTCGACTTC